TGGGGTTGCCGGTCTCTTCCCCTGCCTTCCTCTTCACTCTCTCAATCATGGAAGAAATAAATAAACTTAACCAATATGCCCTTAAAGACTCTCTAGAATGATGGAAATGTAATCCCACTCATTGACATTCATGTGTCATAGTCATCCTCTTCCAGGGTATCAATTTTCAGGAATCAGAAGGGTGGTGCCCTGCCTCAGATTTTCCAGCCCTCAAAGTTTTGTGACAGTCTCTTTTTCCCTCTCTCTCTCTCTCTCTCACCCAGAGGCATGGGTAGAGAGATTATTCTTCAAGGAAGGCATTTAGGTAAGTCTTTTGGCCCAATGAATGATGCTTCTGTATATCTAGTTGTACAGCAAGAAACCTAGAGTGATTTTTAACCCTCTTTCTCCTTCTCAACCCTATTATCAATTACCTCAGGGCCAACCCCATAGCCTAGTGGTTAAGGAAACCAGATCCCACATGGCCAACCACAGTTTGAATCCCAGCTCCTGTGGCTTGAAAAATATGCCAGATGAGACAGGATGGAGAAATTGAGGAGAAGGGATTGTGGCATGACCACAGACCATTAGGGGTGCTTTTTCCATCTCCCACTTTCTTTCTTTCTCTCTCAAGTACACTTGCCCTATGGCAATTAAAAATAATGAATTAAGACCCCTGAAATAAAAATTAAAATCTTTGGTTACATCTCTACCTCTATTCTATTACCCTAGCCAAAGCTACCAATTTTTCTCCCCCAGATAATTGCAAAACCCTCTTGTTTTCTCTGTCTCTGCTTTTCCTGGTGCCGATCTGTTCCCCATACTTGAGCCAGAGTGATCTTTTGAAACCCAAATCCTTCAGTGGCTTCTCACGTAGAACAAAGAACAATTTCCTCCACATGACTTATAGATACTTGCCTTGTGCAGACCCTGCCTTCCCCTCCAATTTCATTTTATACTCTATTCTCTTCCACTCCTACTTCCTTAGTCTGCTTTTTAAAAGTTTACTTGTTTAGAGAGTGGGTTGGCGCACCCTCAATAGGATTTTCATGCCATGATCCACTCCCAGCCTCAGCCAGCCTGGATCACAAGCATGCATGTATGCATGCATGCATGCTCACACCTGGGACCTTTTCATGTGGGTCCAACCCTACAAGGCTGCAATATTGCATTACTGCCACCATCTGATCCTGAGTCCAGTTTCTTGACCTCTGCTCTCTTGGCTGTCATCAGCCACTGGAAAACTTCCTATATACTCCTTGTCACTTGGAGCTGCCCAGGCGCTCTGCCTGAAATCCCCACAGCCAGCTCAGAGTAAAGGCCTTGGTACTTGAGAGTCACTCGGTTCCAGATGCCCCCAGTGTCCCTGCTGCCATATGGCTTTGTATAGTAGGAGGCTTTGACTCTGAGGGTATTATTGATGCCACTGCAGATCCACTGAGTTTCCCTAGAGCTTGCATATACCCCCTATTCCTGCCCCATGGGACCTTCCACTGTTCCCCTCACTTACTCTGGTTACTATGCAGGAAAGAGGTGCCAGCCAGATCCCTGGAGCAAGGCACAAGGTCATGGCTGAGGGAGAGCTGAGGGCAGTTCCTTGGGCCAACTCTCCCTGAATGGAGTCAGTAATGGCTGATTTGCTGCTGTAGCCTGTGCTTGGGGCTGGGGTTCTGCCTCCTCCACTTCCTAACTGTGGGATTGTGAACAGTTTACTCCACTTCTTTGACCCTCAGTTTCCCCATCAGTGAAGCAAATGAGGTTGTTGGTGTTTGGTGCTTGGCTGTAATCAGTTGGCTGATCCTGGGGTCTGGAGCAGGCAGAGGGGACACTCACCTCTCTTGGGGGGAGGGCTTGTAGAAGTGGAGTTTGGGGAAAGGAGGCTCAGAACCACTTCAGGGTTAGACTCCCTATCAGGGCCCAAGGGCGGCTGGGTTTGTCACCTGTATCCACTGTGTATGCATGTATATGCGCACAGTGTGTTGCATCTTTTTATTTTCTTCCTTCTTTTTTTTTTAATTTTAGCTTTGAACCTTCTCTTCTCTATGATATTTCCAGAGTGGTTTTTTGCAGCTTGAGCGTTCTTTGATGTCATTTCTGTCTCTCACAATGCGTGCTGCTGCTTGTTCTCACTTACAACTCTAAATCTAGTCTGAGTCACTATAGGTGTCAAGCTGAGGTGTGGACCAAGGCCAGGCAGGTGGGATGACAACAGGAATGCACTCCAGGTGGTGGTGGTGTTACAGACCTCCAGGCCAACAGCAGACTTCTGGGCCAGCACCAGCCCTGGTGATTCACTCTGGGTTTGCTGGACCTACCTGACATGGACTTTCAAAATATCTGACAGCCCAGGAGCCTCTTGCTTTCTCCCAGCTCTACAGGAAGAGCCAAGAAGCTCTGAATGAATGACCAGTGGGTGTGCCTGCTGATGTTCACACTCCAGAGTGCAGGACAGGAAGCCAGCATCCCTGCGATACAAGATAGACACATGTTGAGCCTTCCAGCACAGAACACTATCTCCTTCCACTTACTTCAGAGGCTGGCATGTGTCACAGGTCCAGGCTGGCTCCTCTGCCCTCCAACCTCCACTCCACTGCCCTTTCTCATAGGCTTTTGCTGAGGCCCAACCTACACCTACTTCTGAGATCCTCATTTAGTGACTGGTCCTCACAGAGCTCTGCTATTCTTTTATCCATTCTTGTGGGCTCCTTCAAAATGTAATTCATCCCTGAATCTTTATTTCTCTATCTTTCTATGAATTTACCCATCTATTTATTTTATAACAGCTTTGTCAAGATACTAATATATCATTAGAATTCACTCATTTAAAGTGTACCACTCAATGTGCTATATATATTTTTTTTTCAACAAGGTGTGTAAAGCTTATCACAACCAATATTTGATTGTGGGCCAAATATTTTGGGTCTACCCTGTAGTCTAGTGGTTAAAGGAGCTAGAGCCCATGTGGATTAAATGTTTGAGAGTTGTTGTTGTTGTTGTTTTTTTTAATCTTCATGGATTTCAAAAATGTTTTTGCACCAAAATAAACTCGTAGTTCAATTCAGTTTTTCCATGAATGTTCGGCAGTCTACTCAGTCATGGTAAGTCAGCTGAACCATTGCTTTTGGGCCTGGGAATGAGGGTTGTGCTTTCTTAGCCTTTCTGTGCCAGGCTGATGAACTCTTTGTGCCAACAGGTATGGCTCTGTGGAGGCAGCATGGAGGTCCTTCCTTGCTCACGGGTGGCCCATATTGAGAGGAAGAAGAAGCCGTATAACAGCAACATCGGCTTCTACACCAAAAGGAATGCTCTCCGGGTTGCCGAGGTCTGGATGGATGATTACAAGTCTCATGTGTACATCGCTTGGAACCTGCCACTGGAGGTAGGCTCAACAGCCTTCCCCACCACTCCAGACAACAATCCTTACTGTCTGGTAGATCGTGCATCCCTTTAACAAGCTGCTGATTCCTCCCCAGAAAGATGCTCATACTTGGAGAAGTCTGAATGCACTTTGAGGAAATTCACAGATATCTGAGCTTTAGAACCCTTGCTTTAAACTGGGACTGGCACAATGGAAATCCCTAAATCTACTTAGACAGATAGAGGGTCTTACTATGTTAATCCCGGTCTTATTAATCTGGCTGTTCTGCTCCTGAACATACATGGTGTCCAGAAGGTTCTTGCCCAACGTTTTTGGCACCAGACCCCTCATCCACGCCTACTGTGTGCCCTCCCATGGCACTCCAGCTGCCGCCAGCATATGCCCCTGCTGTATGCCAAATCCCTTGACTCTTCACCTCTCCTGCACATCCTGTTCAGAATATAGCCCAGGAGAATTCTCATGTCGCCACACCCCCAAAGTGGTTGTGCACTAGGTCTGTTGGAATCCAGCTCTGCCACTTAATTGCTGTGAGATCTGGAGCAGACCCACCCTTCTCTGTGCCATCTTTTCCTTGGCTATAAAGGTATTATAGGAGGGTTAGGCGAAATAAGAGAGCTAATACACGTGATGTACTTGGTGTAGCACCTCCCACAGAATGCATTGTCCAGCAGCCCCAAGGGATGACCTGTGCCCTCAGCCAGAGCACCTGTAGATGTCCAAGCCATAACCTTGTGATTCAGGAGGCTACAACCCAGAACAACAGAAATATACTTGTATGCAGATAAAGTTTATGGAGAAAGAGCATAGAAGCAAAGAAAATCTCTTATTTTTGTTATGATTTTTTAAAATACCATTCTAGGGACCAGCAATTGGTATAATGCCTATGTTGCTGGACTCTCATGTAGTCAACCACAGTTCTAGTCCCGGACGCAGCAGCTTAAACTCACACTGGGCATGTGTGCTTGTGTGCCAGATCCCAAGAGGAGAATGGAGAAGGGATTGTGGCGTGGCCATTCCCCCTGTGGGGGGGGGGTGATTTCTTGCTTTCTGTCTCTCTGTCTCTCTCTGTCTTTTTGGCGAGTGCACGTGCCCTATAGCAAAAACCTCTCCAAAAAAATAATAAAATACCATTCTAAAGGATTTTTTTAAACCTGTATAACCTCAGAGCACTTTATATTGGGTCACTGGGAAAGTCATGACATATTTTTCTGTTTTTATGCAAAAGTGTGTCATGACTTTTTGATGACTCAGTAGTTATTAGAGGAGACTTCAAAATAATCATGAAAACTATGGAACTAAAGTAAGCATTTATTTTACTACTAAAATAATCCATGCATAGTTTTTTCATAATATGCATGTTCCATGAACTTTTAAAGACCCCTACATACAAATGGCTTTTACACATTATTATGTAAAGATAGGTCATATTCGTTGAGCTCTTACTATATCCCAAGTAGCGTTAAGTTCCTTATCTGCACTATCTCAGTGGTCCCTAACCTTTTTGGCTCCAGGCACAAGTTTAATGGAGGACAGGGAAGGATGGTTTCAGGGTAGTTCAAGCATGTTACATTTGTTGTGTACTTCATTTCTATCATTATTACATTATAATATATAATTAAATAATTATCCATCTCACTATATTCCAGTATTTGCAGCCACCCCCCAGCACTAGCATCACTGCCTCAGCTCCACCTGAAGTCATCAGGCATTAGATTTTCATAAGGAGTGTGCAACTTAGTTCCTTCACATACACAGTTCATAACAGAGTTTGTGCTTCTGTGAGAAGCTAATGCTGTCACTGATCTGACAGGAGGTGGAGCTTACGTAGAAATGTGAATGATGGGGGGGAGGTGACTGTAAATACAGATTGCTCACCTCTCACTTACCTCCTGCTGTGTGGCCCAGGGATGGGGGATTCCTGCAATATCTCATTTCATTCCTGTAACAACCTCATGACATAAAACATGTCTTACAGTTTTCTCATTTGTAAAACATCAGTTGTTAATACTTACTTCAGAGGGCTCAGTGAAGATACAATGAGGCTTATAACAGAGCTTAGTAAGTATTAAGTGTTCAATAAACGCTGGCTTGATATGAATCTATTATGATATCCACTGTACAGATGAGGAAACTGAAGCTCTGTGAAGTTATAAGTGACTTAGATTACATTTCTACACATAGTACGTGGGCAGGGTTGTGAACTCAGGTCTTCATTCAACTCTGCCCACAGCCCTGTGAAGTCAGTAGAACAAATGTTCTCATTCTTATTACTGCTCTACAGAGAAGGAGTTGTGACCTAGAATGTTGGCATGACTCACAGTCACAGAACTCAGGTCCCCTGACTCTAGCTGTACTCTTTCTTTGTTATTGCAGACAGCCTCTGTTTCCTAATAGCAGTAGTATCTACTACGCATTTTTTAAATGTCTGTTTTCCTTAATCATGCTAAATCTATAGAATAGTTATATATTACTGCTCAGATTTGCCTTTGAATTGTAATAAGTTTGACAGTTAAAGGATTTTTGGCCCAGGCTGGTGGTGTAGTTGGTAACATACTGGACTACAGTGCTGGAAGCCACATGGCTAACTGTGGGTTCAGATCCCCCACCCTGTTGACCTGAAATATGCCAAGTATGCATGCACGAGCCCCAAATCCTGATGAACTAGGGGGCTGAGGGAGGAGGATCATAGTGTGGCAAGATCCTGTTTAGGATGCTTCTCTCCTCTTTCCCCCTCTCCTCGCCTTCACCCCATGTGTGCATCCAAGCATTCTCTATCATGAGTAAAATAAATAAAAACTTCTTTTTTTAAAAAAAAAGGTATTTTCCTTTAAGATGACTATTTGACTGCTGAAGAAATCTTAATGAAATAATTTTAACTCTTCTCCTGGGCCACCAAAATACCGCCTGGCTGTCTGTCATAAGAGCAAGCATCCTGTCTCCGCTGCTCCACGGCCATCTTATGGCAGAGTCTGTGGAGTCGTATTTCAGATACTTTATTTTCCCCTGTCAGCACACAGCAGCCCATTACAGGTTCATTTCTGTAAAAGCAGAGTGAATTATTCATTAGAACATCATTACAAGCTTTGCAATGGAAAATTATTTTCACTTCTGCATATAATGAACTTCACAAAGAGCCAACAAAGAAGGAAATTATACATGTATAGAAAAGAAAGGCAAGAGGTGGTTATAGACATTTATTTTCTCATCTTAATCAAATAATTCCTCTAATAATTGGCCTGATAGTTTCTAAGGAAATGTAGAAAGGAAGGAGCTGGGGATCTAGGTCATCAAGATCAGTGTGTCCCAGGAGCCCTTTCACACAGCAAAAGGAGGATGGGCAACCTGTCTGGGGGCTTCGTGCTACATGGTCCTAGCTGCACTCAGGGAACAAGATTTAGAACCTGGGTCTGGATGACCGAAGTAGATCTTCTTAAACTGACCTTCTGAGTAAGCATATAGGGCATCTTAGTCCACTATGGAGTTGCTAACAGGAACACCTGAGACTAGATAATTTATAAGGAATAAAGGTTTATTTGGCTTTACACTTTTGGTGGCTGAAAAGTCCAGTGGATGGGCCTCAAGCTGGTCCTTGGTGCTATATCATAGCATGGTTGATGGAAGCAGGGGATGGTGACTGCGTGCAGACAGACCTGAAGGCAGTCACCTTCCTTTTATAATAGCCTAATCTCACATGGTAGAAAGCATTGATCCATTCATCAGGGTGGTGCTTCCATGATCCAATCACTGCCCACTAAGCCTCTATTCTTACAGGTCTCACCATCTCCCAATGCCATTACACTGGGGACCAAATTCAGAAACCATGAACCTTTGGGGAGACAACCAAACTGTGTCACTGGGTTTAAGCTCTTCTCTCTGAAAGTTTCCCTAAAAGTGACTTCACCCACATGCCTTTCTGTATGAGCTCCAGTCACTAACACCCCTTTGCTTCTCTCTACTTCCAGAATCCAGGAATTGACATAGGCGATGTCTCTGAAAGAAGGGCATTGAGGAAAAGTTTGAAGTGTAAGAATTTCCAGTGGTACCTGGACCATGTTTACCCAGAAATGAGGAGATACAATAATACCATTGCATATGGGGAGGTAATTAAGACTGTGCTTGTTCTTGACTTGGATTGTTCTTCAATGTTGTGGATTGCTTTGCTGGGAGAACAGAGTCATTTGTTCATGAGTGTTTTGGAGAAGTGTATTCCCTTGCAGCAGGATTCCCACCAACTGGTAGGGCAGTGGGGACAACAGGAATAAATGCTATGATGGGGGCGTGGAGAAAAGGCTGTGACAGCCTTCTCTGCCTGAAGCATATAGAACATAGTGAGTTCCATTTGGGACATTTTGACTTTGAGACCCTTGGAAACTTATAAGTGGAGACATTAAGCTGGAAATTGGGTGTAAAGAGAGGTAGGGCCTAGAGCCATCTATTACTTAGTGCTGTGGTCCAGGGCCACTTGTCATGACAGAAAGGAAGGAAATGGTCATCTCAGACTTTTTAATAATGAGATAATGTCACCTTTCTAAGCATTAAAATAAACTGATATTTTCTCTATGACAAATGCTATAAATATGCATTTTAGAATATATTAAAAGTAGGGCCAGCAGATGGCATGGTGGTTAAGGTGCTGGACTTCTACATTACCAACTGCAGTTTGAGTCCCAGACCTGGCAGACCCTCCCTCACTATCTTTCTCTCTCTCTGGTCAAATTTAAAAAATAAATGTGAATAAATAATTCTTAAAAAAAAGTCCTAGACTTTAAAGAAAATAATATATTAAAATTATAATGGTAATGAACATAGATTACTTTCAGTATGCCAGGCACCATCCCAAGTTCTCTTCAAATATGAATTTATTTCAGCTTCACTTTATGAAATAGTAGTAGTATTTCCATTTTATTGATAGAAAGCTGAGATGTAGAGAAATTAAATTACTTGTAATCACTGTTCTAGTCTGTTCTATTCTTAATAACAAAATAACTGAATCTGATTTATTCAGTTCATAATTAGGTAATCTAAGGTCAAGGAGCTACATCTGGGGTTCCCAGGGTGTCACATGCGAGAAAATAGAAGCCCTGAAGTCATATCTATGAGTCTGTATCATGTTCTTATTCCTTCTCCTTATAAACCCACCAGGAGTCAAGAATGCCCTGATACCCTTAATTCTGATCTCCTTCTAAAGACCCAACCTCTCAGCACCATAATTGGATTATGTTTTCACCCCCTTAATCCCATCACAGCCAAATTTCAGCATGTGAATTTTAGGGGGACATTCAAACTATAGTGGTCACAGATCTATGAGTCATGAAGCTATAATTGGACAAAGATATTCTGACACCAGATATAATGCATTTAATATATGGTCTTCTTTATTGCATATATGTGCATATGTGCACACATGTGTATCAACAAACACACATACACTTTTTTTTACTAAAATCATGATGCCTAAAATGCATAATAATTTGAAATTTTACTCAATAATAAACAGAATATTTTCCTATGCCATTAACCATTTTTTTCTGCAACATTATCGATGGCTGCATATGGTACAACTTCTTGTGTATGCTGTGTTTTGCTTGAGAATGTAAACATTTGTGTTGTTTCCACTTTTTTTTCTTTCTTTTGCCAGAAGGTGCATGCACTTGTAGAGAGAGAGACAAAGTGGGAAAGTACCCCCCCCCATAGGGGACAGTTGTGCCACGATCTCTTCTCCTCCCTATCTCAGTCCTTTCAGGGTCTGGGCCATGCACACACATGCATCCAGGGTATTTTCAAGCTGCCAGGTCTGGGACTTGGCCACGTGGGATCCAGTCATCTTAACCACCCTGCTACCAGCTAGCCTATTGTTTCCAATTTTTAAATATCATAAGTACTGTTGCTGAGAGCATCCTTACATATAAGCACTTGTGTGTCTACCGTGTTACTTCCTTGCAGTGCCTGTTTGAAGGTGGGATTGGTGATGCAGTTAGAGTCAGGCCTGGAAACAGTGAGCTGCTGCTCTCACCTGGCAGAGACTCCCCACTGGCTCTGCAATTTGATTTTCTTCCTATGACTGGCTGGGACTCCCTGTGACTATTAGGCTGAAGCTAAGAGCACTCCTTTTGAGTTCAGTGTTTACATTTTTCTACAACTGTGGATTTTCCTATTCTTTACCTGTTGTCTTTTGTGGAAAGTAAAACAATCATAGGTTAAATAATCAGTGTGCGAAGTGGTGACCCTGCTGAGCTGGAATTTGGAATAGGATGCTCCTTCCTTACAGAGACAACCCCCTGTAGTGGCTAGGGATGTGTGAAGACCCTGGAGCTAACCTGATGAATTAAAATCCTAGCGGGCTGTTACCAAGAGCACGGCTCCTCTTGGCTCCAGTTCCTTCATCTATAAAATAGGAGAAATGAAAGTGCCTACTCCTTAGGATTGTTGAGGGGATAAAAGGAGCTGTGGCAAGTAGAGTTTTTGCAGTAGTAGTTAGTTAGTAATAGTACCTACTAATTTGGTAGTAGTAGTAATTAGGTAGTAGTAGTTACTACTAGGTACTACTACTATTAACTAACTGCTAACTAGTACCTTGTCTTTTCTTTAAAATTAAACTATTTCTTCTTTTTTGTTGTTGTTTTTGTTCTCAAAGTAAGATCAAGTGTGAAGGAGGCATGGAAAAGCAATGGGCAGTGAATGGATTGTTCCTAAAACAACTGGATAAATGGCCTAGCTCTCTGGAAAAGCAAACAATTTAGATTCTTCCAGTTCACCATACACCAAACTATATTTCAGATGGACTATAGCATTCCATGAAAGAAAAGAAACCATAAAACAAGCATATGAAAATAAAGATGAATCTCATCTCTGAACAGGGAAGGGCTTTCTAAGAATGAAACCTGCGGCAGGAAATGCAAAGGAAATGGAACATGGATCTGAGCTCATAATTAGTAAAGTAACCTATACATCAACTAAACAGGGACATAATATGCCAAACTGGGAGCATGTCTGCCAGGAATCCTATACATGAACAGATAATGCCATAATACATAATAAGCTCAGCAAATTGATTTAAATTAAAAAAAATTCTACTATACCAAGTGCATGCACACACACGTAGGTGGTGGGGAGAGGTAAAAAGAGTCAGAAAAAGCACCTTTAATAGGGTCTACTTACCCTCCAGTGCCCTTTCCCCAGCCCTGCAGTTTCTCAGGGTCCTGGGCACCCATGCACACACCTCTTTCAGGCTGACCTGGATCCGAATTGCGCTTGCCATGTGTCTTCCAGCACTGCAGGGCACTAGCTTTCCTGCTGTGCCACAATGGCTGGGCCTAAATTACAAATTTGATTTAAATAACAAAATAAAATGCCCCAAAAGAAAAAATACAAAATACATGGCTACACACAAGAAAATATAAATGTCTGCAAAACACATGATAATTTTTAAAATTTATTTCCTAATCAAAGAAATTAAAATAAAACTTTGAATACATTGAGGTAGCATTACATTTTTCTTGCTCCTAAATGAACAAAGATTCATTTTGGGAATGTATGTTGGTACTCTGCTGGCAAGGCCTTGGTAGTATGAAAAATCACATATCCTCCGGTGAAAGTGCAAATTGAAACAAGGTTTTTAAAAAGCAATTTGAATCACATGTATTAAAAAGCCTAATGATAGTCATACTTTCTTCTCCACTCTTATCCCAAGCAAATAATCTGAAATAGGGACAGAGCTTTGAGAGTAAAATTGTTCAGCTCAGTAATTTTATTTTTTGGAGCAAACATTTTTGAATTTAACTTGAAGATTAGTTAAATATAATAGAGTAATGGTTTGAAAAATTTTGTAGTCCTTCCAAATAGTGTGTACAAAAAAACTCCATGACATCAGACAAATATTGATACTGTAATGCTTAAGAGGAAGACGTCAGGATGATGAAACCAGATTAGCTCTAGCAGGTGAGCGGGTGAGAGAATTGCAGGGGGAAGAGGAGGAGATGGTTTCAGTCACCTTGGGTAGTGGGGCAGCAGGCAGTTTTTGTGTGAGTACGCTGTCATGATTTCCCATTTTTCCACTAGTTATGTGAACATTTTTAAATTAGAAGAAAGGTAGTCATTAAAAGAGCAACAGGAGCCAGAGGGTGGTGTAACAGTAATGCAGCTGGACCCATGGAAAGCTGGCATCCTGGAGCCTCCCTGCACAAGGCAGGAGACCTGGGCAGCTTGTGGTCTAGGCTGGTTGAGTCTCAGGGCTGTCATGGTGTCACTCTCTCTCTAGTGCTGCATCTCAGGGAAGACATAAATAAATTAACAAGAAGAAAGAAAGAGAAACAGAGGGAGGGAAGGGAGGGGAAGGGAGTGAAAGGAAGAAGAAAGAAAGGGCAGAAAGGAGGGAGAGGGAGGAAAAAAAAAAGATAAAGGAAGAAGGAAGTAAAGAAAGAAAAGACTCAGCCTTTGGGGGGGTCACAGTAATACAAGTCCCTGGCTTGCAAGGCTGAAAGCCTCATTGCTGGCTATGGGCTCAGATCCCTGGAGTGGCCTGAAAACACACTGGACATTTGTGCAGGTATCCAGAATTCTGAGGAGGAGCTGAAGCGCTGGGAAAAAGGGATCATTGCATGATGAGGCCCTGTTGAGGGGGTCTATCTCTCTCTGTCTCTCTCTCATGCACATGTGCTCTCTACTAGGAAGAGAAGAAGGGAAGGAGGGGAAAAAAGAAAGGGAGCAAGGGATGGAGGGAGGAAGGGAGGAAAGGAAATGGGAAAATGCTATTAATAACAGAAGATGGTCAGGGCTTCTGTACATGGTTTCACAGTCTGTGCACTGCACAACTCCAGTGGCTGCCATTTACATCAGCAGCATATAGTTGATGTCCCTGGAGTTGTACACTGGGGTGACCTTAGAGGAAACAGAAATCATACTCTGAGATTTTTTGAGAAAGACTTTTATTTCTACAAGTTTTCTCCTTTTGAAAAATAATAAATTCAAGACCAGCAGATGATGTAATGATTACTCCCACACGGCCAACCTCAGTTCGAATCCCAGACCTGCAGGCTTAAAACTCATATCAGGTACATGTGCATGCAAAATCCCAAGAGGAGAATGGAGGAGAAGGGATTGCAGCATGACCATCTCCCTCCGGAGGGGGCAGGGGGGCGCGGGTGTGTGTGCAGATTTCTTACTTTCTGTCCTTCTGTCTCTCTCTCTGGCAAGCACACATGCCCTATAGCAAAACTCTCTCTAAAATAGTAATAATAATAATAGTGATAATAATAACATATCTTTTAAAAGAAATATGAAGACTAAAATAAAACTTACTCTAAATCCTAATCCCCAGAAATAATCAGTGTTAGCACTTTAGGGCATTTGCTTCTCTGATTCCTTCTCTACCTACCGAGCTCACCAAATGCCAAAATACATTTCAGATGGACTACAGCATTAAATAAAAGAACTAAACCAAGCAAATTCAACATTTGCCATTATGTGTACAACTCTATGCTTCATGTTATGTTTTAGACACAGCCATATCCCAAAGCAGTGAAAAAAGAGAGAGGGGAAAGTAGGTATCGCACTCGACCTACCATTTGTATGTTTCATTTTTCATTGACAAATCTCTTTGTTTTTCCACGAAGTTTTTGAAGGCCCCTCATACATGTACAACATAATAATATAGACCAAAAATCCATGTTGCCACAACCAGGGTGAGAGGCCGAACTTCATCTGCATCATTTCCGTGTATGTTTCTTAATGTTTAGTTCAGGAGTCACCTTCTCTCGGCAGTGGTCTCTGAGCCCTCAGGTGGAGTTGAGGACATTCTCTTTGTTGGCCCCAGAGCATGTCAATCATTGCACGAGCTCATCCTGCTTCTTTCTGTCCAGCCCAGAGGCCAATTCAGGACAGGGACTGTCTTGTTTATCTTTGTGTTTGTTAAACTTAGCACCAGGCCTTCAATAAATATTTATTAAATTACTGGGTGATAGATTCGATTGCACACACACTAGAAGCAGAATTTAAAAGCATAGCAGTCTGAAATCATTACGTGGAACAAATATGTCCTAAAAACATTAATGTCCTTAATATGTAAAGAGCTCTTACAAATCTATAATGAAACCACTTAAGATCCCAGTGGGGAAATAAACAGACAATTCCCAGAAAGGGAAATGATTACTAAACATAAAACATTCCATTGTACGGTTAATAGTAAATTTATGCAAACAAGATATCTTTCATTGTCTCTCAAAACAGTAATATTTTTAGATGCTGAAACTCAGGACAGATATATATATATATATTTACCTACAAATGTATTTGCCTTTTAGGTGGGAGTATAAATTAGTCAGATCTTCCTAAAAATGGAACATCAGGGTCCTGATACCCCTTGGTACTATAGTTCCAGTTCTAGGATCCCATTCTTGAGAAAATCTGAAATAGGAACTACATTTTATGCATCAAGTTACTCATCACAGACAAAACTGAACAAAATTAAATTGCTCAAAAATTGAAAATTTTAACTGTTGTGTGAAAAGATGGTAAACAATCATTATTTTCTTCTGTATTTTCCAAAGTGTCTCAATGAGATGGCATTATTTTTATAATCTTTAAAAAGATATTAAGGGACCAGGCAGATGACATAATGGTAACATTGCTGGACTCCCACATAGCTGACCACAGTTCAAGTCCCAGACCTGGTGGCCTGAAATACGCCAGGCTCATGTGTGTGTGTGTGCCCAAATTCCCAAGAGGAAGTTGGAGGAGAAGAAATTGTGATGTGACCATACCCTCTAGTTGGGAGATTTCTTACTTTCTGTCTCTCTATCTCTCTCTGTCTCACTGGTGAGTATATGTACCCTATAGCAAAAAATTCTCAAAAAAAAAAAAAGATGTTAAAATAATTAAAGTTCTGGGGCTGGCAGGTGGCATGGTAGTTAAGGGCACTGGACTCCCATATGATTGACCTTGGTTCTGGTTCCAGTCCCGGATTTAGTGACTGGTTTTCTCTCTCTTTCTCTCTCTCTCTCTCTCTCTCTCTCACTGTGTCCTTCTCTGATCAAATTAAAATAAATAAATAAAGTTAAATAAAATAGTTCTTTTAAAAAAAAACAACTAAAGTTCTGCTTAGTTGTTGAAGCCTAGATACAATTTGGGCACACAAAGAGCAGAGTGCCCCTTTTCCTCTTTTCTTTATTTACTTCTGGTTAGTTTGGTTCCCATGAGAATATAATCTGGAGGGGACCAACCGTACATGAGAAAACCAGCAACATTGCCTTTTTCCCACTTGTTGAGATCATAGGGTGATGGCTAGGATGAATAGCAATATGGAGTCACAGTGCACCTGGAGGTCTGAATTAGACCGTTCTTACACACCCTAAGACACCTGCCTAGGTCCAGGAGTGTTGCTTGGGGACTTTTGTGTCTTTCCTCACTGGTGTACCCCAAACACCTAGGGTGGTGCCTGGCACAGAATAGGCATTCAGTAAATAAATGTTGCCACAGCCTTTCATGATGGCAAGGTTTTTATTTGCTTTTTTGTGCCTCTATGCCAGAACTGACCTGAGAAGCTAACCTATGATTCCCAAGGTTATTAAAAACAGAGTTAGGGAACCAGCCAATGGCATGATGGTTAAGGCAGCTGAATCCCACATGGCTGATGGCAAGCTTTGAGTCCCAGACCCAGCAGCTTGAAAAACACACCAGGCACATATGCATGCATGCCCAAAATCCCAAAAGGGAAACTGGGGGAGAATAGGTTGTGGCATGATGATCCCTGTGGAGTGTGCTTTGTTACTTTCTCTCTGTCTCTGTCACTCTGGTGAGAGCATACACCCTCTAGCAAAAACAAACCAACGAACAAAAATGAGAACAGTGTTGAAGTTGGCCTCTGGCCTGGTGGTTAAGGGAGTTGGGTCCCACACAGCCAACCATGTGATTTGAATCCTGGCCCCAGTGGCTTAAAAAACACACTGGACTCATATGTGTTCATACCCCAACTACCAACAAGATGGAGAAATAGTGAAGGGGTTTCAGTGTGACTATGCCCTGTCTCTCCTCTCTCTGTCTCTCTGTCTCTTTCTGGCAAGCATATGAGCCCTCTGGCAAAAATAATTTTTAAAAAATTGTTGTGCAGAGGCCCACTTGGATTTGTTTATACATTTTAGTCCCCACTCTGAGGTGACTTTTAGCCTCAGATCTGGGTAAGCAATGTTCTTATATCCAGAAATTCCCTAAGATTCTCCTTTTTGCTAGGGATGGAGGAGCTCTGAGAGGGCCACACAGGACATAGCAGAGGGTAGCACCCTGCCACCCACTGGGAGACTTTGTCCTCTCGTTACAGTGTTCACTTCACAGATTGGAGCTTTGGTGCCAGGGTAGGGGCAGTGGATTAGTGGCCTTCCCAGCTTGAAGTCAGAAGCAGGGCATGGTGGGACAGTGAGACTCATGGTGGGACCTCTACTGGATGACCTCTGATGGGTGATGTTTTGCCTATTCCTACAGCTTCGCAACAACAAGGCAAAAGATGTCTGCTTGGACCAGGGGCCACTGGAGAACCACACAGCCATACTGTATCCGTGCCACGGCTGGGGCCCACAGGTAGGAGCTCATCTCTGACCACACAGGAAATAAAGTCACTGGCCCACGGGGGCCTCGTGGGATTTCTGTAAGTTTCTGTTGCCCTCTCCTTTGTTAGCTGTTACTTTGTTGGAGATTTAACAAGTGGATAGGAGGCTTTGTGGTTGTTCTCTGAAGAGGCTAGAGGAAAGATTCATCTACACAGATATTAAGAGGATCAGTGTACACGTTCATACTGAAAGGTCAATGGGAGTAACTGCAAAGGCTTTTGCTGATATGCAGATACGTACCACATGTGTCTCTGCTGTCATTGTAACCAAACATACCTCCTCACAACTTCGGGACAGGATTAGCAGAGTCCCTCCCCGAGAACCTGATTGCCGTGTCCATCCTGAAAGACCATTGTTAGCGTGAGCTTGGTGGGAAGTCGTGTGGACTGTAAGGGCTGCTCTGAGAGCGTTGTCCTGACTGGGAAGCAGGAAACTATTTGCAGGAGCATTTCAGAGAACACACAAGATAACTTGAAAAGGGCAGAGCTATTTACCAACAAGTGAAAATAGGACCTTGACGAATGAATTTCCTTTGACTAGCCTCGTGCTAGCCAGCAGTGTGTGTGCATGTGTGTGTGTACACAAAGAGCTTAGCAGAAACTCTCTCTGATTGGGAGAAAATACATCCAAAATTGTCACTAGTCTTGATATTCACAAAATTTCAAAACATTACATGCAGCAGTAGTAGCACAAGGCGGGCTACAATCCGGAATACATTTATGTCAATCCCAGAGGAACACTCTAGGGCTGGTTTCTGAATCAGGCTCATAGATTCTCTCTCTGGGTCTCCGTGTGTACATTACAAAATGAAGGTCCTGGATAAGATGCCCTGCGAGCTCCTGGCATCTCCTTCATGCTCTATGAACATACACATCACATGCAAAGTCATGCTTATCAGTCACACACACCTGCCCTATCACACACGCCCTGCACACATCAGGGCTCATGGGTTTTCTCTCCCCATAGCAGTTTGGCTTTCCTATGAGACTGGCTTCTGGAAAGAGAAGAACGTGTTCCCTTATATCTTGGCAGGTGGTTCTCCTAACCCAGTTTCTCAGCCTCCCTCTGAAGGGGGATGAGCAATGCCAGACAGGTTACTGGTCAAATCTGGAGTCCTTTGTTTCTTGCAACAAGTCTGGGAGGTAGGAGCCAGTCTGAAGAAATTGAGGCATGGAGGGCCAAACACCTGTGAGCAAAGCCACCTGGAGCTCAGGCCCTTTAGTGCAACCAAGGCAATTTTGATCCAAATAAAACACATTTAATTCAAGAATACTGGGATCAGCAGTTGGCGTAATGGCTATGTCGCTGAACTCCCATGTAGCTGACCGCAGTTCAAGTCCCAGACCCAGTGGCTTAAACTCACACTAGGCCTGTGTGCGTCCATGACCAAGATCCCGAGAGAATGGGAGAAAAGGGATTGCAGCATGGCCATCCCCCCTGCAAGGTGACTTCTTACTTTCTGTCTCTCTCTGTCTTTCTGGTGAGCGCACGCATCCTATAGCAAAAACTTCTCAAAAAAAAGTAAATAAAAGAATATTTATTGAACCCTACCATCTCCTACAACTGACTGAAAGTACCTATGGGGAGCAGGAGAATAATCAGGAAGCCCTGACCCACTCCCCTCCCTTTGGGGCAACTTTAGTGCTCCTTTTGGGAAAAGGCAATACATACTAAAGAATCTAGCCCAGGCCTTCTTCCACCCTTCCCTTCATTCATTCCATAAGTACAACGTGGTCACAGTTGTGTACAAGCAGTTGATCAGATGCAATCCCTTCTCCCACATGGTTTACATGTGAGGAGGAGAGTCAGATAAAGGCAGGAAACCTCCAGCAGAGTAAGTATAGTCCAAGGTGCTGGGCACTGGCAGGTGGAAGGTGGCCCAGCCTGACAATGGCTGAGAATACAAGATGAAGGGAAGGGTAGGAGATGAGGCAAAAGAGAGGTGGAGATGCAGAGGCCAGACAGTGGCATGAGAGTAAAACACCAGCAAGGCTGACGTGGGAAGGTTATATGTTGATATCTGGAGACCTCCCTGATTTTACCCGGTACACCTGTGCCATGATCAGGGCTGGCTGATTCTAGGGTGAACTGCAGCTTGAGGGCCCTGTTGGGGCCTGTCTCTATATCTCTCTCACTTGTGGAAAAAATAAATGAATAAAGTAAAAAAAAAAAATTAAAAGATGGAGAGGATAGACCATGTGATAGTCCTGCGGAGCCATGCTCTGGGCACAGGTACTCACTCTGCACGCCCAGTGGAACCATCTGTAATGCTGTGAAACTCCAACTCCCGAGCCCACCCCGAGTCTCTAAATCAGGAGGTTGGGTGGGACCTGAGATTTTGTATCTCTAACAAGTTCCCAGATGACTCTGAGGAGTTAGGAGCTGATCCTGAGGGCACTGGGGAGCCACTGAGGGCCTTGCCTGGGGGGGTGATATGTTTGCACTGAGAATGGACAGCGCCAGAAGGGCTTAGCTAAGAGGCTATATCTTGGAATAGGGCATGTGAAAAACCAGTAGCCCAAGTAGTTGGGCGAAGACGGCAGGGACAGGGAGATGGAGACTGTGGTGCCGGGCCAGGAGGACCTGAAGGAAAGGAATACAGATCCCCATACCACCTTCCAGGAAGCCCTCAGCCTCTGGCTCAGGCAGTAGGAGGCTGGACACAGCCTGGCCGAGTTCACGTCTGACCCAATGCTACAGCTCCCTGTCACTTTAGGAAATGTCAGGAGTGACTTTCAGATCCCTTAACTCCCAGGCTATTCTTCCCAGTCTTCTGAGTAGGTAACTTTGAAACTGAGTACTTAATAACTGACATGATAGGGACATCCCATTTAAACATTCGCATAATCAAAACCTAGCCTCAGAAAGCCACCTTCTCCTGGGAAAGAGAAAAGGAGTAAAGATGGCTGAATTAATATTTCCCAGATCTGAAGGCTTCCCTGTGTAGCTCGAAGTGATTGATATTTACTTTGGGTATTTCAGGGAAAAGGTTTTGTTGTGGTGGTTGAAGTTTATTTATTTACCGATACCATGAGAGACAGAGACAAAGAGACCAAGACAGAGAGACAGGTACCCTCGACAGGGTCTTCATGCCGTTATTTACCCTAGCCTCAGACAGTCCAGATCGCCTGGCATGCACAGGGAGGCCTCAGGATACAAACCCAGGACTTTTCCATGTGGGTGACCCTAAAGACCTACTCAATTTGTCCCCAGGCAGAACCCAGACTCCAAGTTGCCATTCTGCTAGAGCTTAGTGGTATTAGCAGCACAGGATCAGGGCCTTGGTTGGGAAATAAACAGAATTATCTGCCCCCAGTTGCATCTGCACACAGAACTTTCCAAGTGCACACGCCTGCCATTTAGTTAGTTACGGAACAACACAGGCCAAATTAGGCACCTCTAGGATGAACACCTAGAAGGTGGCCCTAGTTACTTTCCATCCTGATTTTATTTTGGTTTTGCTATAGGTTGTGTGCACTCACTAGGGACACAGAAAAAGACAGAAATCACCCTCTAGAGGGGATGGCCACACAGCAATCCCTTCTCCATTCTCCTCCTGGAATTTTGGGGGTGTGTGTTTCTCAAGCCACTGGGTTTAGGACTCCAGTGGCAAAGTTGGCTATGTGAGATCCAGCCGCCTTAACCGCCACATCACTGGCTAGTCCTCACTGATTTTTCAAAATAAATCTCGTGTTGTTTTCTGTTCTGCCACACGTTTGGAATCAGAGTGTATCTTTGGCTTGACTCTCCAGCTGCTGGGCTGTCCCTCCACTAGCTCATCAGCCACCTCCCTTCCCTTCCCAAAATGCTCCCTGTAGGCAGAGTTCTGTCCCTCCCAAGCACCAGGTACGTTCCTTGGCATCTTGTTAAATCTGTTCCTAAGTGCCTCAGGCAGCTGAGACTGAATCAGAGCTCCTACAACCAGGCAACTCCCAGAAGAAGGAATTGGTGTTCCACGGACATTGTTAGCTTAATTAATGGACTCAATGTTGTAATTTATTATCCAACAGCAATTAAACAGAGATAAAATAGGCACTGAGGAGGGTAATTTCCTGTCTCGCAGCATGTGTTTGTCAACAAGATGGAAACAATTCCTGGCCACTCCGAGAGCCTGCTCCCTCCAAGGGTCTGTGAGCAAGCTTAGGACTAGCCTCGGTTTTGTCTGGTTACAAATTTGGATTAGACAAACATCTACATATTTTTTGAGCCCAAGTTTTATTTAAAGATAGAATATCAGACTGACTCCATTGTGCTGCAGGAATGTGGTGCTCAAGGGAAGTTGGATCCCACATGGCAACGCAGTTCAAATCCCCAGCCTGGTCAGCTTCAAACACACAGGGCATCTGTGAGTTCCTGTGATCTGACAGGCTGGAGGACTGGAGAAAGGAGATCATGGCATGACCAGACTGTGTACATGTGTGCTTTCACATACACACACATGTACACTGTCACAAATAAGTGAAAACAAATGAATAAAGACAAGATGGTAAGGACACAGCAGCAGCCCTTGGTGCCAGCTTGAACACACTGGGAGCGGGAAGTCTTGTCTAAGGAGGTCGTGGACCCTTATTCCAGTAGCAGGCTGTTGCCTTTCTAGGCCCACATTCAGAATGGGTCTCTGAGTTAGAGCAGCCTCAGGAAAACTTCATCTTCTCCCAGGGTTATTGGCCATGGGATCAGCCTCTCCCAGACACTTCCTGCTGCACTTGCAGCTCAACCAGTCAACCTTCTCCAGTTAGAGCCTCCGAAGTCTCTCCAGCGGCAAAGGTGCGATCAGGAAAGGAGAAGGGGGAAAATGCTGTTGATAAGACCCAGGTCTGTTTTTAGCGACATGCTTAATCCTCCCAATGACCCTGCCTGTTAGGTAAGAACATCTCCCCACTCTCTTTTCACTAATGAGAGTCATGAGATTCCAGGGGACAATGGCAATTTTCAAAGGAAGTCTGTGACTCTGAGTCTTGGATACTTTGC